AAATAAAGCAGTATTAGGATTATAGACTAGTCCATCCTTCATTGCCTTGAACAGAATAATCTTTCATGCAATTTGACAGATACAAAAGGAAAGATCTGAAAAAAAAACCCAGTAATTTCCCTCCAACTGCTTTTTCAAACATTAAAGACATTGATTATACCAAGCAAGTGTAGGTGAACTTACTGTATATGTTTTGAGATTAAAAAAAAGGAACCCAACCTCATTTCTATCTCAGGTTTAGCCAATTATTTTCTATATACAGCTCCAAAACTGAAAACTATACAGGACAATATTTGAGGTGCTGAATCGGTAGATGTTATTAAGGCTGATATATTTACTTAAGATTTAAAACAAGAGTCAGATGCTTTAAAACAAGAGTCAGCCACCACTTTGCATTGCAGATATGTATGATTTCACCCAATGTCAAATGTTCTTCACAACATCAAAATGTGTCAAAAGCCAGGTATCTTGCATAATTTGCCTATTTTAGGATATTTCAGCAATTTTGATTAATTTTTTGTTATAAATGTTGGGAATCAATTTCTCATATCAGGGTATCAGATACTATATGGCCAGATTCCATTTTTAAACATCCCTTTTTAATTGATCATTTTTTAAATCCAGGATGACCTAGACTGATGGTTTGCTTTACACATTATAATAATTCATATATGTATATACAAATATAAAGTTAATGAGGAAACATGAAAACATATTCTGAAAATATGTAGATGAATGGCAAGAAAGAACCAACAACTATATTTGAAAGACTAAGAAACTAACTACCGAACAAGATTAATAGTGAATAATGTCTTGGGAGAAAACTGCAAAACTATGAAGGAAAAAATGGCAGACTAATTATTAAAATGATTGGATACATAGACATTAATCAAATGCAAACATAAGAAAATAATCAGATTATAAATTTGGCCTCCCAGCCTCCTCTTTGGGACTCATAGAGTCTTCCAGGGACCGTGGGGTCAACACATTATAATTTGGGGGTCCTTTTCAAGGGGGGGAAAATAGAAGCTTTAGTTTTTGCAGAGGCTTAAGATTGATGCAATGTCCCTTATATTTTCCTAAGTCTAACAGATGATAACTTCAAAACATTCAACCCAGATCACACAGGACAGAAAAGGAAGTTCAGCTTCCACTTGTGAATGAAGTTTTGATATCTTATAGAAAGCACTAGATTTGCTTTAACTTGCCATATTCACTAGGGGGCAGACTTCATCCAATACTGAATATTGAAATTCTCTTAGGAATTTTGATCTAGACACCAATAGAAAGTCAGACTTGAAGCTTAGAGACACATAATGATTCAGGGAAAAACTGGAATTTGCATACATTTGATTTTCTACATTGGAGCTTAATAATTTTTTAAAAATTTAAACATTTCTATTATTACTTCACAACATAAAGAAGTTAAATTTCATTCAATGAATAAATATATCTATTATATGGAACTGAAGTCTTGTAACTTGCAGAAAAAGTTATCACATTTTGCAACCCTAAGTCCCCACAAATTAATCATTTGAGGCACATGTGGCCAGAAAAATGGAAAGGAATGGATGAAAAAAATTTCAATTTACAAAATTTATAAAAATCTATGAATCTCATCATAATTCTGTTCTTCTCAGATGAACAGCTTCACTTGTTTTCAAACCCACTTTTCTAAACTCAAAGCCAGAATCATACACATATAAGAAATTGAAAATTAATACCAGTTGCCTACTACAGTAAGTTTTGGATGCACTGGTTTTGAATCTGAGCTATCCACTGTTTTGATCATATTTCAGTTTCAGAATTACCCTACTGAATTAGAAATGCTATATTCTGAATTCAAAACCCTTCTAAAATAAAGAAATCAACGTTTACATGCAAAATAGGATTTAGTTCACCATTATATACAGTCCAAGCTATTCAATGGCTTGGTTCACATCTAATATAAACTTATGTTTTGTTTGGATTTTGCTTAGCAATGTAATATGATTCTAGTTTATACACTATGGCTTATGTAACTTAGAATGATGTATGAATCCAGCCAATTGTAGTACAGTTCACTAATCATGTTTTAGAAAAATACTAACCATAATAAATGAACCTAGTTGAGGTACTGTCACAAATAACATTTATGCATATAGTGAAAGAAATCAGGCTATCATTTGTATCAATTTCAGGAGTACCTTGAGAGCAAAGGAGTAGGCTTTTTCTCCTATATTAATGGACTTTGGATCATCATCATCCAGGCTTTCCCAAATTCTTACATCTCCATCACTGCCACAAGTTACAATACAACTATTCAAAGAAACAAAATCAAAATACAAGGATATAGTAACAATATGCATAACTATTTCATACACATATTCAGATTTCATTAAAATCTATAGTAACAAAAGGTAACACCATCTAACTGTATTTTTTCCTTAAAGACTAAATAATGACTACAAGCAAAAAGGCTGGTCTCCAAGAATAGCATTTATAGGATTGGGGTTTCCTAAGTAGCTCCCCAGGTTAATTAATCCCAGGTATTAAAATCCTGCTGTGATTTCCTTGCTTTTGTCTTCTTTGTCTTAGGCCAGGGGTGTCAAACTGCAGTTCGTAGGCCAGATGTGTCATGCCGAAACTGCGCCCACCCCATTATCGGCAATGAAAAAAAAGTTGCGATACATCACAACACGTCACATGATGTTGCGAGTTTGACACCCGTCTTAGGCAAATCTCATTAATCTGGTTTCTAAATCACTTTATGACGTACCACAATGTGCAAATTTAGCTAACTATATCCATGCAAACCCCCAAGGATTCACTTAATGATGGCAGCTGGCACACTGGAATTACATTGCTAAGTAGTGTGAACACATGATGCCACACTTTATGACCATGTTGCTTAATGACAGCAATTCTGGTTCCAGTTGCCATTGTTAACTATCTATATATGTTTAATTATTTTGATTATTTATTTTAATTATATTGGGAAAGAACTTTGGCATGGCTTGCATAGTGGGCTAGGGAGAGTTCAAATCTAGTCACTTTGAAAAGAGACTAAAGAACTTTATCATATGCTGTCATGAATCCAACAATAGTTTCTCTTAATTCCTTTACTGTTTATTATTCAGTCAGGCACAGATAACCATGGAACATACTTTCCACTCATAAGGATCAGATGTATGTTTCCATATATATCTATGCAGAATTGCAATTGAAGTGTACAAATATTTTAATATTTATACTCTGCCTTTTTGCACAGCGATGCCCAGAATGACTGCCAATATAAGTGTTCTGCAAAGCAGAAAACTTCTCATTTTAGACAAAAACTTGGAGACATCTGCGACCAATAACAGATTTCTATGTTCTCATGCAACTAAGCACATTTCAAAAATATTTGTATATTTCTGAAGTAAATCACTAGATAAGTAAAGCTTCAATCACTCACCTTCCAGTATCATTGAAGCAGACATCTGTCTGGCCTTCTGTATGTCCATATCTCATTGGTTTTTGTGAAGACATTTTCTTTGTCTATTTAAACATTATAAAGGCTTCAGCAATTAAATACAAAAGCAACGTTTTATATCCCTCATTAAAAGCCCTCAGTCTAGCAGAAATAGAATGCAAATGTTTTAGTAAAAACATGCAAAATACATAGGATCCCTTTTTTTACTGATGTTGATCATGTCATCTAGAAGTTTATCAATATGGTCATTATAGTTGCAACTTCAGGATCAGGGACAGCAACCCTAAAGGTTACCGTTTTATTTCAAGCTTTCTCAGCCAGGTGCCCCCCCCCCCCGCCCAAGCCACGCTGAATTAGGGTGATGAGAGATGTCGTCCAATACACCAAGAGAGCTCCAGGTTGGGGAAGACTGTCTATATGGCTCAGCTAATGTAACACGCTTATTTCCTTCCACCCGAAAAACGGCGACAGGACCTTCTCCCTCAGGATCCCGAGAACGTGCGTGAGACAAGCTACGGGGACGCTCGTTCTCCAAGCACAGCCCCAAAGAGCGGCTCACAGCTCCTCACCGACAAAGCTACGCCATCCCACCGCCCTCACTCACCCGCCGTCCTTCGAGTTTTCCCGCGCTTCGCTTCCGAGTGACATCTTCGGCGCCAGAGGGCGGGCCGGGCTTTTCTTTGGCTTCTCATTCGGCCGTTATGCTTTCAGTCTCTCGCTCGGTCCCGCCCCCCTAAGCCGGCTGGATCCTGTCTCAGAGGCCACGGGGCGGGCCGGGCTGCGTCGGCGCCGTCATAACCGCCTGGAAGGGGGAGAGGAAAATCCGTGCCTGTGGCAGCAAGGCTGAGGGACGGGCTGACGGCGGGAAGGGTGGGGTAGAAGGAAAGGCGGTAAAGCCGCCGGGCTTCTCTGGCTCTGCGTCCTTCCTAGCCCCTTTTTTCCTCGAAAATCGTGGCGTTGCTCCGTTTCCTCAGTCGCCCTTCTTTCTCCTTTCCTTTCCTTCCTGCCCGTTCTGTACTATTCCCACTGTTCAACGCTTCTTTGGAGACACAGATTTTAGGGGAAAAGAAAGAAAACAACACGCTCCTGTTTTGCAGTTAGCAGCAGCTTTCTTGGCCGCGGTCCCCTTTCCCTTCTTACTGTTTCCCCCCTCCCCTTTCCATATGTCGAGATTTCTGAAGCTTTTCTAGATCTTCATTCTTCTCTCCTTTGCAGCTACCGTGTGTAACCAGAAATAACTTCCAGTGTATCGTAAAGGGATTTTCTCCCAAACGAATGGATTTCGAATTGCAGTTATTGCTTCTCCTTGTTAATTTCCATCCATCTTCAGCCACTTTTTCCTAGCATACCCTTCAATTTCCCCCATTCCTTCATTTTCTCAATCCTCATCCTCCAATCCCCTTTCTCCCTCCCTCACACACACACACACACACACACACACAACACACACGGGGAGAGGGGTAAAGATCCCTCCCCTTCCATTCCGACCTTTCCTTTCTCATCCTTGGACCCCTCAGCCCCGACCCTTTCTCCTCCTCTTCCTCCAGCTGTGCAGTTGCTCCGTCATTCTTTGTGTCTGATGGCGAGCCGTGGTGCCTGTAAGTGCCACGGTATTGGACGCGGTTTCTCTTTCTTCCCTGCTTTTTGGCATCCCTTCAAAATGTTTCTTCGGATAAGCAGCAGGTGAGCATGTACAGGGCATGGGGAAGGGGAGAGATGGAAAGAACTGGCATCTGTTCATTCTGACAAAGTTATCCCTCTCCAATAAAGATACTCAACTTTTATTAGCTACCACAATCGACTTCTTGGTGAAATGTTTCTTTAAATCCTGGGGAGAAAAACTGAATTGAATTTGAATTTGAGATAGATATCTACTGTTGGTGGTTGGAGGAAAAGGGGAAAAAACAAAATTAGTTTCAATGTTAATTTCATAGCTACAGCCATCATTTCAGCAGCATAACTTTTAAAAACAGTTAAATGCAACAGTTTTTTTATTTAAAAAATGAAATTTTATGCTAGAAAAAGTATCATTTTCAAAGCTTCTTTTAAAATTTTGGAAGTGCATATTATAAAATGTTCAGAATTTGTGGCCAATAGCTATATTGCTGGTTGTTTGAAGTGCAAGATTTCATGGGAAATATCCACTGTGTTTAGTAGTGATTGCATCCACCTTCTAAGTTTAGCCAAGAAATGGTAGGTCTTAAGGTTAGAAGATTTTCATCTTTAGATGTTCTGTTCTAAAGAGCTTTGATTTGCCTACTTGTAGTCCTAAAAAGTTCATCATCTGGCAATTCTTTCTTAATATATTTTAAAGTCTTTAAAGTTACATGGAAATGTCACTTAGACTAATTGAAATAGACATCTGTGGGACATTTACTGACAATATTCCAAAAGCCATTTGTTCATATTTTCATCTTGAGGCTGCTGTTTTTAGAATAAAAACTAAAAGTTGGAGAAAGCATATGGCGTGTGAATTCTTGTTCCTGCCCACTTGTATTGTGAAGTTAGTTTGGCTGACTCTTAGCTGACAAAATATATAAATAGTTTTGGATAGCTTATTTGGTCATGTTTACACTACATGGGGAAATATTTTTGGTCTCATGCTGTGCTTTGTTAATCGAGTAGATCATTTTGTGGACGCGTAGCGAAATTTATTTTTTTTTAAAAAAAACTCAGTGCCTATGTTCTTCCTAGGAAAATGGGTATTATATTTTAACTGGTTCTAATTAAAATATTGTTCTAATCATTTAGTCATCAACTAGCTAATCAAATATTTTGGTACAATGTCATGTCTTACAGTAGCATTAAAGCATGACATACCAAAATATCTGTGGATAACTAACTTCTGTTTTATTTTAGAAAATGTTCTTAATGCTCTTCGCATTTTCGCCACCATTTAATATCTATTTAGAACATCTGCAGTTTTAGGAGAATTGTGAGAAATGATTTTTGAGGTTGAATGAAACTAAGTGGAGCCATCTAGGAGGCTTGAGAGCAGTTAAAGTAGACAATTTTCTATCAGCTTGTTCTCTTTATACATTTCAATCTTACTGTAATTGGTTTTTACTTTTTTTCTTTTGGATAATGTTCTACTCTTTGATTTTGCAAGTCCTTTAGCTTGGCACATCTGCCTCTTCTCTCATCTCAATTGCCTTGTGGATTTTCAGACGAAATATCAAGAGAATTTACTGATTTTAGCTTCTACTGGAGCTGAACTGATCCCAATCTTATTGGGAAGTTCTCACCGTAAAAACTTCTGGTACATACTTACCCAGCTGTCATTCATTTAGGAAAGGTTGAAATAGGAGACATTCAGAATTACTTGTGTTCCATATCAACTAGCTGCTATGGATTTTTCATCTCTGAATCCAAAATGTATTTGGCAAGTCCAGTGCAATATATTATTCCTTATATCTAACATACATGAATGTTCAGGATAAATCACCTGTGCAGATTTTATTTTGAAGAAAAAAACATTTGGTAATATAATATGTGTTAACAAATTAGTGAGAGGGAGTAAACTCTGAAGTGATGATATCCTCCTTTTCTTATGTAAAATTCACTGCAAAATGGCTAAATGTAGTATTTTCCAAGTGAATAATAATATCTTTTCATTTTCAGTCATTGTATTTGTAAAATGATGCACAAATGCCTTATGTGGTCCTGATAATATGCAAAAGCCATTATGCAACTTCTGTTCCAGTCAAAATCTGGTATCAGAAAAGTGATGATGTGCACTTGAAAAGAATTAGAACATGGCTTCTAGCAATATTCTGTCCTCCTGATTTGATGTAGGAAAAGATCAGTCAAATATGTACCGTATGTTCTCCCTTTAGGATAAAATCCACATCAGGCTTTAAGTGAAGTTAAAGTGAATGCATCAATTTCCATGCTCTCTGTTAGATAAGATATGACATTATAGTCATAGAAGCAGTCATGTGTCAAGGAACAATAGCTAAAACTCTTCAGTGATTTTCATGCTATGATGACTTTTGTTGTAGTCAAAAATCATAGAACTCAAAAGGATTCTTTGCTTTATTGTTTCTGTGAGAGCTAGCTTCACATTTAAATGTTTTTCAAGTGCCAGTTACAAATGGAAGATGCAAGCCTTCTTTCTACTGAGATGACCTGTCTATATCACCTCTTCTAATTTTCTGTTAAAATAAAGCAGATGCCATATCTTGACTTCCCAAATGGCTCACTCCATTAATACTGCCCTCCGGGTGAAAATTTACTTAATAACTAGACTGCCATTTACTTTAATTTGTTTTGTTGCATTAGCTGACATGAAGCTATGTGTATTTAGTTTAAATGTCTATATATTATGAAGCACAGAGGGTGAATCTGATGGGAAGGAGAACAAGAATGAAATATGGCCTTCAGTAAATCTATATGAATACAATTTATTTGACTGCTTCTTTTGAATTGGATTTATGTTTGTTTTTTTGTCACCAGACTGTCAAAATATAACTGGCCTTTATGATGATAGTTATATTCCCAATTTGTGTTAATAGTATTTGGTATTTACATGCATAAGATTTTTTAACTGTGTATTGTGGACTTAGGTATTGCTGTAAATCTATCATTAGGTTCAGCATAGTGCTGTGTTAATATAACATTTAATATAACATAAAAGTACTTTTATCTTGCTCAAGTGATCTTTTATCTTGCTGACGGAGTGATCATGTATGAACCCTAAAATAATAAGTCAGGGAAGAGGAATATTTCTCAGTGGCAATATTATGATCAGTAAAGATATAAAATGATGAGAATATATTAGTTAAACAGAGGGTAGAAGTGAGAGCTTTGTTCTTTTATCATCTCAATTAGTTTATTAAAAGAGGATTACTAGGGCTGAAAGAGGGCCGAATATAGAAAGGAAAATTCTCTATATAATTGAAATCACAGATTTGCTTTTTCCCAGAATAAGAAAAGCTTGTCGATGTTTTAGAAAAATAGTGGGCTCACAGTCTTTTTCTAAAATATTGACAAGCTTATTTCTTAGTCTGGGAAAAAACAAGTCTGTGATTTCAATTATATAGAGAATTTTTAAAATTCCTCTAAAAACCAAAAGAGGTGTTCTCAAACTCTGTAATATTGTAGTTTAAATAATGAATTTGTGTGATTTCCCCCAAATAAAGCTAATGATTTCATTGAGATTAGGGCCAGATAAAAAATAAATATACCAGTTACTCTTAATAATTAAATGTGAATATATTAAACAAAATCATGACATAGTTTTACAGCTTTATAAAATATATAAAACTGACACATAACTAACATACATTTTTATAGACACTCCAAAATCTATAGATATACTACTATATACCACATGAGCAGAAATGCCTGAAACATACAAATATTTCTAGGAAAAGCCAAGCCCAAATTAATCCTTAGATTAATTCTTGCAATTTTGGAAATGGTTTGCCATTGCCTTCTTATAGCTGAGAGAAAGTGACTGGCCTAAAGCCACCTTTATGCCTAAGGTGGAAACAGAATTCATGGTCTTCCAGATTTTATCCTGGTGCCTTAACTATTGCACTTAAGTTAAAGTACAAAAAAATGGACAAGTTTAATTAACAAGGATTTTAATTGATTAAACATTTTGTAGAATAAACAGATACGAAAATATGAAAAAAACTTTATCAAACTAATGTTCTTTTACATAGGTAATAGTTTGAAAAATACAGTATTGCTGACAATTCACAAGAAAAGGAAGCTGAAAACCAATTTATAAGCTTAGTAATACCCTAAAGCCTAAACTTGATTACCACACCAATGTCATTCTTTTAGTTGTGACTATTTTCTGAATTGCTTACAACTCCCTGGGAGGTCACACCTTACCTTTTGAGAACTATTGAATTAATATAAAAGCATTAATCGTTGAGACAGGATACTTGTATTCCTTTTGCTTTATGGTTTCTTCTACCCAAAAAGATCAAGGTGTTTGGTTTCAATAAATCTGCAGTAATATAGATGGTGCAGTCCAAAGCTTTATCCCTCCTACCAAGAAAAAGATAAAGTTATGTTGATTGTGAAATACAATAATTGGGGAGAGGATCCTCTTCTGTTCTGACTCTGAATAGTTTGGTATTTTGGAACTAACCTTTGCATGCCCAGATTGTTTTCAGTTTGAAAGGGGGGAAAAAGGGGACATATAAGAAATGGAAAGAGGTCCAGTCATTTAGGGAGAGTATTGACAGGTAATCTAATACTATAATTGTAGAAAATGAAAGCTTCAACTAAGCTGATTTAGCAAAAGATGTTAAGAACTATAAAAAGAGCATCTTGATACATGTTCAAAATAACTCGAAAAGAATCAGTATGCCAGCTACTGAATGAAGGTAATAGATGAAACTAATCAAGGACAGAATTGAGAAATTTTCTGACAGAACAATCAGTGGAACAACCTGTCTCCAGAAGTTGTGAATACTCCAACGCTGTACGTTTTTAAGAAGAGATTGGTCAACATTTGTCTGAAATGGTATAGGGCACAGGTCGGCAACCTGCGGCTCCGGAGCCGCATGCGGCTCTTTGAGCCTTCCCCTGCGGCTCCCAGCCTCCTCTGCCTTTGCAGAGAGAGACAGAGACAGAGAGAGGAATTGCGCTTCCCTGCTTCTCTCTCTCTCTCTCTCTCTCTCTCTCTCTCTCTCTCTCTCTCTCTGTGTGTGTGTGTGTGTGTG